GCAGGGAGGGCAGAAAGAGCAAAACTGCGGGAGGGAGAAGGCGGCAGAGGAAAGCAAGGAGACAAGGACAGGAGACTTGCACCCATTCCTCATGCCCACATACAGCACACACAGAGTGGGCAGCTCGTGGCAGGGGCTGATGGGAGGGGAGGGAAAGACAGTGATCTTTGGAACTCAGAACTTGTGATAAGGTCTTGGTTTAAAAACAAGACAAAACAAAACACCTGCTGGCACCTCTGTGAATTTCCATCAGAAGAGGAGGCTGGACTTTGGTACTCAGATTAAAACACACTCATGACTCACTGGCGGGTAGGGTGGTGCTTTCTATGGGGGACAAGTAGGGGCTGGGCTACTCTGCATAAATCTCTGCCCCAAGGTTACAAGGACAAATATCTCTGATCAGCGGGCCCCCGCCCCATGGGGACAATTTTCCAGGGCTCCAGAGAAGAGGAGGAGCAGAATACCTCTCAGAAATGGAGTCAGGTTGTCCTGACTGGATTCAGACTGTTGTATGGTCACCTACTGGCTGCATAACCTTGGGCAAGTGATGTCACCTGCAATGAGCCTTAGTGAAGACAGTTATAGTGATAATGTGGGCCTTTCTTGTGGATGTGTGTGACTAGGGTTACTACTCAGGTGACATGCATATATGAGTGCTCTCAGCCCAGTGGAAAGTGCTGGGTACGTGGTGAGTGATTCCACATCAGTTCACTTCAGGCTCCACCTGGAGTTTTTCCCCTCTCCAAATCCATGAAGACCTTGGTGACCATTTGGAGCTGCCATCTTTCCCTTTGGTGTCCCCTTGGCGTCTGCTTTTTCTTCTTCTTCTCCTTCTTTTTTTCTTTGAGACCGAGTCTTGTTCTGTCACCCAGGCTGGAGTGCAGTGGCATGATCTCGGCTCACTGCAACCTTTGCCTCCTGGGTTCAAGTGATTCTCCTGTCTCAGCCTCCCAAGTAGCTGGAATTACAGGCACCTGCCACCACACCTGACTAATTTTTGTATTTTTAGTAGATACAGGGTTTCACCATGTTGCTCAGGCTGGTCTCGAACCCCTGACCTCAGGTGATCTACCCACCTTGGCCTTCTAAGGTGCTGAGATTATAGGCATGAGCCAACGTGCCTGCCCTGGCACCTGCTTCTATGTCTCTCATGGTCCCCATCCGAATCTCTGCTACGTGACCCTGTGCCCCATATCCTATGTGTCTCCACCTTGTCAAGGGCACATCCCTCAGCCCAAGTTGTTCTAGAACACAGGAGGTGTGACAAGCAAGAGGGCCTGAAGCTGCTTGGGACCGCTGGGAGAGAAACCAGCTTTTCAGCTTCGTGGCCTTACCACGGACCACTGGGGCTTTCTCAACTACCCATCCTACCCGACTGAAGCTGCTTGCTCAGTTCCTGTTTCACGAAGAAACAAGGAAGTGAAGAGATGGGCTGGCCTCTGGGCAAAGGCAAGCTGGGTGGGGGTTTGGGGAGCGCCTCCCCCTCCTGGCTGCGACAGGGAGGAAACAGTTGCTACTGAATCTTTCATATTTCTATTTTTTTTTGGTACCAAGAGTGCCCAACCACTGATTTGAGGAAGCACCCAGTGAGTTGATAAAATTCACTGCTGACGTGGCTTAGCTGGCTGAAAAGTAGCCAGCCCAGCCCCTTCTGAGGCTCCAACTCACACACAGCTGGAACCAGCTGACTGGCAAATGAGCAAAGGCTGACTTAGTTATCATTTCAAAAATGAACTATTAAGTGTCTTACACCTGTAATCCCAGCACTTTGGGAGGCCAAGGTGGGAGGATCACTTGAGGCCAGGAATTTGAGACCAGCCTAGGCAACATAGACACCATCTCTATAAAATAAAACTTAAAAAAAAATTAACTAGGCATAGTGGTGCACGCCTGTAGTCCTAGCTGCTCAGGAGGCTGAGGCAGGAGGAGTGCTTGAGCCCAAGAGTTCAAGGTTACAGTGAGCTCTGATGGCGCCACTGCACTCCAGCCTGGGTGACAGAGCAAGACCCTTTCTCTAAAAGAAAAGCCAGAAGGAGTTAGTTAGATGATTTGTGTATGTATGCAGCTACTATCATCTTACCTATGCCCTTTTCTATTCGGATTTGAAGCTTGAAGGAGCATAGCTCGACACCACCATCACCATTTTTGTCACAGCTGTGTGACCTCCAACAGGTCTCCTTGGGTCTGAGTACGTTCATTAGGGGCAGTAAGGGAGTAACAGAAGCACACATGGAAAGCGAGAGTGGAGCCATCACAGAGCTGAGTCAGTATGCTGCAGATTTAGTCCTTGCTCTGGCCCTAATAGACTGTGTGACCGTGGGCAAGTCCCTTCCTCTTCCTGGGTCGCTGTTGAAGTTTCTCCACCTGTACACTGAAAGGGCTGCATCAGACTGTGTGTGTGTGTGCGTGTGCGTGCGTGTGTGTGTGTGTGTGTGTGTGTTTGGTCATGGAGCTCCTATTCAGTATTGGCTCTGGAATTTGGGGGACTTGGTGCAAAATGAAAATGCCTGGTGCCCCTTGCTTAAAAATTATTGAGAATTTTGAGACACTGACAGGCAAGTGTTAAACCAAGCACGGGGCCCTTCTAAGCACAAAGTCTTGAGGGACTGCACAGGTCCTACACCTGTGAAGCTGGCCTGCGACTACTTCAAATACCATTTTATGGGAAGCCCATTAGGGCTACTTCGTGCAGGAGCTCCAAATAGTCACCAAGGTCTTCATGGATTTGGAGAGGGGAGAAACTCCAGGTGGAGCCTGAAGTGAACTGATGTGGAATCACTCACCAAGTACCCAGCACTTTCCACAGAGGCTGTTTTCCTCAACAGCCTCTCTAGTGTTTCTGAGGCATCGCAGGCTCCTGGGAGCATAGTTGGGAAGATATAAATTAGATGTTTGCACATTAGCTGGGATTGCAGGCATGCGCCACCATGCCCAGCTAATTTTTGTATTTTTAGTAGAGACAGGTTTTTGCCATGTTAGGCAGGTATCTTTCTAGTTTTGACTATTTACATATAAAACTTGGGTCCCAGATCTTTTTCTTACCTACCTGCAAAGGTGAAGCAGAGTTGAACTCACGCTGGGCGAATGACAGCAATATCATCTCTTGTCTGTGTGGCTTCCTGGTTTAGAATGCTGCCACATCCGGGTCTTACGGGCCTCTCACCATATCCTCACCAAGAAGGCAGTATGAGAGCTTCTAGAAGGGATAACTGAAGACCAGAGAGAAGTGATTTGGCCAAGGTTACACAGTTGGCACAACTGGGACTCGAACCCTGGAATCTTAGCTTCTAGGAAAAGGGGCTTTTCCACATGGCCTGCTCCCCAGGCAATCAGCAGGCGAGGAGAGGTTTGCTAAGCCCCATTCCCATCCTCCAACATCAAAACAAAGGACTGGAGCCCGAGGAGACAGTTCCTAATGATCTCTCATTCTTAACAACGTCACAAGAGTCCCTGTGTATCAGCCTGGGTGTATGTGCCCTGAATGTTTTCCTGCCTGACCCAGAGTGAACCCCTTAAAGCAGGAATGGTCAAGGCTGTCCATTTGGGTCCCAGGGGAGGGTGAGTCCTCATTCCAACCATGTTCCAGGGCAGGATTCTTCATCCCAGAATGGTGGGTTGGAAGGGCAGTTAAGGAGACTTGGAGACGAGGTGGAGTCCTTGGTCTTGCACTGAGGAAAAAAGCACATGAGCTGCCTCGGGGTGAAAGGCCTTTGTGTGGGTGTTGGTCAGGGGCCTGGTCTTGCCACCCATGACCTGCCAGAACCACAGGAGCAAGTGTCAGGGCGCAAGGCAAAGGTCTGGCAGGCCCTGGGGAGGCATTGTGGTGTGGATCTGCTTCTCACCAGCAAAGTGGTCCTGCTGCAGCCTGTTTTCTCATCAGTAAAATGGTGAAAGCCATATCACTCGCCCTTTCTTTTCTTTTGAGACGGAGCTTCACTCTGTCACCCAGGCTAGAGTGCAGATGTGCGATCTCCGCCTCCCAGGTTCAAACTACTGGCTTGCGCCACCACATCCAACTAACCTTTCTATTTTTAGTAGAGATGGGGTTTCGCCATGTTGCCCAGGCTGGTCTCGAACTCCTGGCCTCATGCGATCCTCCTGCCTTGGCCTCCCAAAGTGCTGGGATTACAGGAGTGAGCCACCACACCTGGCCAGGACTCTCCCTTTCTTTGTGGGTGGATTCTAGAGTTCTCTGACTGGTTTAAGATCTGGCTTTTTTCATTTACCCAATGTAAAAAGTGACCTTAAGCCACTTAGTGAAACTCCATGGGCCTCACTAAGTTACCTCACTTGTAAAATGGGAATAAGAAAAGGGCCTTCTTAGAGGTTGTGAGGATTAAATGAGAAAATGCATGTAAAGCTGCTTCCATGGTGGCACAAAAACACTCAGTAAATGGCAGCCATGACGATGATGATGGTGATGGGGACTGTAATTTTATTAGTAGTAGCTGTTTTTGTGAGGTGAGCAGGTGAGGGAACAAATGACTCAGCAAACAGAGGCCCATCTTTGTGTTCTCAGTAAGCCTGGGTGAGGGCTGGGGCCTCTGGATGCCAGTACTGGTGGTGGTAACCATTACAGGTCACCCTCACACTCAGCAGACTGGGCCTGATGGTCCCAGGCCAGGGGATTTCTCTGCCTGGTACCTTTGCCCAGCACCGTGCACCCAGAGCCTTGGTCCTTTCCTTCCACCAACTGTGCTCTGCTTGGCAAAGGTGCTAGCTCCAACTTTTCTGGGCAACATTTGACAAGTTTCCCAGTGTGGGGCTTCTTTCTGTCTCCTCTACAAGGTTGCAATATCCTTAGCACGGGCTGGAGGTTAGCTGGTTGGGCGTGGCATGCACGTGCGTCTGCGCACATGGGCACACATACTCATATACATGCTCACCCACACGTTCTCAAGCCCACGTGCTCCCCCGCTGAGCTTCTAGGAGCCTCAAGTCCCCACCCCCCACCTCCCCTTCTCTTCCTCCTCCCCTACCACAAAAGCCACAGGTGACAGCAGTCTCTGGCAACACAGCAGACACAATGCAAAACTCAGAGGCGAGTGTCTTTGCTAGGGTGTTTTAAACGTCTTAGCAGGATGTGAACCCAGGTGGTTAACGGCCAATTTGGCTGGAGCAAATTCTTCTCACCAGAGTGGGCTCAGCATATGAGGAGAGGGCTGGGAGGTGGGCTCAGGGACTGTGGATGGTGCCGAAGGGTGAAAGAGCTGGAGTGCCGTGCCCAAGGGCACGGCCCACCCCCTGTCTGAAGCTTAGTGTTCCTGTCTGTAAAATGGAGAAACCAGACACTGTTTACACAAGGTGAAGGGCCATCCAATGATGCGGGAGGATTTAACAGCATCGTAGCTGTGACTGCGTGTTGGAATGTTCAAAGGGCTCCCCGAATGTCAGGGAGGTCTAGAATAGTGACGTGGTCCGGCTGCCCAAGTTTATTCTCCAGCCTCTGGTAGGGTCATATTCCAGAGTGTCTCACCGCATTCCCTCCTGCCCCACAGCCAAATTCCTGTGGCTTAACTCCCTTTGCCGTTACTTGGCATAGAGCCCACCCAGGGTTTAGGAATCATGGGTTCACATGTCGGGGGTTGTTGGTTCGTGCTCTGGCTGAGTGGAAACAGCTGTGGCGATGCCCAACAGGTGGTGATAGGTTTGGGCTCTCCTGGGACCATGGCACCCCTGGGTGGTAGGGGCATTGCTCTCTTGGGCTTTTGTTTGGCGGGAGGGGAGCAGCTGTAGCAGTTTGTGCTAGGTTATAGGTTAGGCCTACTGAGATCCCAGGAAAGAAGAGTCTAGCTGGCCCTCCTATCCCAGGGCCTGGGGTTAGGAGCCCAGGGTGCAGTATACAACCCCGGGGGCAGGGAGGTGCCACCTGGGGCCAAGAAGCTCTGTGCTCCTGGGGCCTGGTCTTGGAGAAGGAGGCTGAATGCAGTGGTTTCCAGGCAATGGACCATCAGGGGCTCTTGGAGTATGTTCGGTGCAGGGTGAGGGGAGCCAAGCAAGGGAGACACGCGTCTAGATGGAGGGTTAACAGGGAAGTCTTCTGGAGCCTCTAGACACTCCAGCCGGGGATGGCAAGAGTGGAGACCACTAACACAGAGGCCCAGGAGGTGGAGTCCGGGGCCCTGGCGGACAGGGGCTCTGTGTGCTGCTGCAGCCACTGGAACTCCTCCAGCAGTTGGCGCTTCTGCAGCTCTGGGCCCACCTTCTCCCGGATGGTCTGGTAGTAGCGATTCAGGTACTGGAGCTGCAAAAGACAGAAGGAATGAGAGCCTCTCCAAGCCAAGCTGCCAAGAGGTGCAATCTTGGTGACACCCACTCCCCTGCTGTGGTACTCCAGCTGCCCAACATGATCCAGATGCCCACAGGTCCCCCACCATCATCAGGCCTCAGGAATTCTCTGGGGCTTTCCAGAGGCAGTTCCCCTTGGCAGCTGTTTCATGTCATAGTGATGTTCATGGGTGGTGAGGTGGGTGGATTTCAGGCCGGGAATGGGAGTAAGCTGGGCAGGCATTCTTATCCTCAGCTTACACAAGAGGAAACGGAGGTGAAAGAGTGGAAGGGATCACTTACAGCTCCGGGCCTTGTAGTGGCCGAGCTCAGAGGCCCAACCTCAGAACCCCCAGTTGTTCACTACCTAGGGTTGGGAAGGCTGGTTTGGCTGGAAAGTTCTAGAAGCTCTGGGATCTCTGGTGAGCTGGGGAGGAATGCCCCAGCGTGTGTCTGCAGGTGCCACCAATGTGGACCCTCCTGAGGGAGGGGCAGGGACAGAGGATGTGGTGGCAGGTAGCAAAGGCAGGAAAGGCCCAGGGTCAGAGAGATGGCAGTGCTGAGGGGCACTCACATGCTCGGGAGACAGCAGGCTGACATCGATGAGGTTCCGGTCATAGGGCACAAATGATACCACCTCAAAGGTCAGGTAGCTCCCTGGGTACTGGGAACCCACAAGAGAAGGCGGGTAAGCAGGACAGTGAGGGAGGAGGAGGAGCTGGGCTGAAGGGAAGGAGGGAGCACTCCACCCAGAGGACACAGGAGCTGGGCCTCATCAACCTGGACACTCCGGGTAGGCTGAGCCTTCTAGAGTCCCTTCTCTTGGCGAGCCCCATTGTCTGCCACTTAGTGCTCCTTCTTTGGTGCTTCCTTCCTGACTCTGGAAATCTAGACTTAAGTTTGTGTTTTTCAAAGTATGCACATCAACAGCACTTAGGGAGCATGATAAATATGCAGAATCCAGGGCCCCCCTCCCAAACCTACTGGAGGCAGAATCCTTAGGGCAAGGCCCAGAAACCGAAATTTCAATCATTTTATTTTATTTTTTTGAGACAGGATCTTCCTCTGTTACCCACGCTGGAATGCAGTGGTGTGATTGCAGCCCCCTGCAGCCTCGACCTCCTGGGCTCAGGTGATCCTTCTACCTCAGCCTCCCAAGTAGCTGGGACTATAGATGGGCACCACCATGCCCAGATAAGTTTTGTATTTTTAGTAGAGATGAGGTTTCACCATGTTGGCCAGGCTGGTCTCAAACTCCTAGGCTCAGATGATCCACCCACCTCAGCCTCCCAAAGTGCTGGGATTACAGGCATGAGCCACCATGCCTGGCCTTAAATCATTTTAAAATAAATGATTATTAAGTTTTTCAATCAATCAATCAAACAATCATCTATGTAATCTATCTATTCATCTATCCATATCTCTATGTATCCATGTATTTATTGATCTATCTATATAGACAAATGTAAAGAGGAAAAAATAGCCCATAATTCCCATCTCCCATAGAACCCTTGTGTGTATGTGCTTAGGAAACTCAAACTACACAAAGATACACAATACAAGTTGAAAGTCTCTTTTGGCATGGTGGCCCATGCCTGTAATCCCAACCCTTTGGGAGGCCGAGACAGGCAGATCGATTGGGCCAAGGAGTTTGAGACCAGCCTGGGTAACACGGTGAAACGCCACTGATATGGTTAGGCTTTGCGTCCCTGGCCAAATCTCATTTTGATTGTCCCCAGGGTATTTAGCGAGAGACTTGGTGGGAAGTGATTGACTAGGGGTGGTTTCCTCCATGCTGTTCTTATGATAGTGAGTCCTCACAAGATCTAATGGTTTTTTGTTTGTTTCTTTCTTTTTTGTTTTGTTTTGAGACAGAGTCTCGCTCTGTCGCCCAGGCTGGAGCGCAGTGGTGTAATCTCGGCTCGCTGCAACCTCCGCCTCCCAGGTTTAAGCGATTCTCCTGCCTCAGCCTCCCGAGTAGCTGGGATTACAGGCACACACCAGCATGCCTGGCTAATTTTTGTAGTTTTGGTAGAGACAGGGTTTCACCATGTTGGCCAGACTGGTCTCAAACTCTTGACCTCAGGTGATTCACCCGCCTCGGCCTCCCAAAGTGCTGGGATTACAGGCGTGAGCCACCACGCCCTGCTGATCTGATGGTTTCATGAGGCAGTTTTCCCTGCTCTTTCTAGCTCTCTCTTTCCTGCCACCATGTCAGGATCCTTGCTTCCCCTTTGCCTTCTGCCATGATTGTAAGTTTCCCGAGGCCTTCCCAGCCATGTGGAACTGTGAGCCAATTAAACCTCTTTTCTTTATCCAGTCTTGGATAGTATCTTTATAGCAGTGTGATAACAGACTAATACACCAGTCTCTACAAAAACATACAAAAATTAGCCAGCCATGGTGGCATCCATCTATAGTTCCAGTTACTTGCAGGCTGAGGTGGGAGGATCACCTGAGCCCCGGAGGTCAAGGCTGCAGTGGGGCCATAATCCTGCCACTGCACTCCATTCTGGGCAACAGAGCGAGACTCTATCTCAAAAAAAAAAAAGAAAAGAAAAGAAAAGAAAAGAAAGAGGCTGGGTGCTGTGGCTTACGCCTATAATCCCAGCACTTCGGGAGGCCGAGGTGGGTAGATCTATTGAGGTCAGGAATTTGAGACTAGCCTGGCCAACATGGTGAAATCCCGTCTCTACTAAAAATACAAAAATCAGTCAGGTGTGGTGTCAGGCACCTGTAGTCCCAGCTACTCGGGAGGCTGAGGCAGGAGAATTGCTTGAACCCAGGAGGTAGAGGTTGCAGTGAGCCGAGATGGTGCCACTGCACTCCAGCCTGGGTGACAGAGTGAGACTCTGTCTCTTAAAAAAAAAAAAAAAAAAAGTTTAGACTTGTTCAGTTTCGCTCCTGAGAACATTTCAGGCATACACAGCATATGTATCTATCTATGTATATATTTTGAAAAGCCACACAAAATGGATTCTACCATACATACTTTTCTGCACCTTCCTTCCCTGCCCCACTGCCCCTTACTTGTAAACCTAGGAGAGTGCTTCACAGTAGCGCAGGATGATCTATCTCATTCTTTTTAAGGGCCGTGGAAGACTCTGTAGTGTGTGGATGTCCCATGGTTTATTTAATCAGGATATTGAGTCCACTGCCAAAGTTTTGCTATTTTTACCATCAATGCTACAAGTCAACATCACTACATAAACATCTTGGTGAGCTTTTGGGACTATATCTAGAAGGTACATACCTGGTGTAGGGATTGCCAAAACAAAAAGAACAAGCGTTTTTAATAGGTAATTTCATAGATATTGTCAAACCACCCTCCAGAAAGGTTGCACCGATTGTACTTTCTCCAACAGTGTATGAGAATGCCCATTTCCCCACATACTCACTAGTACTAGGTATCATCAAAGTCACTGATTTTTGCCAATCTGATAGGTGAAACATGGTATTCTATTGTTCTTTTGATTTGCATTTCTTTTCTTTTTCTTTTTTTTTCTGAGATAGAGTCTCCCTCTGTCGATCAGGCTGGAGTGCATTGGTGAGATCTTTAATCACTGGAATCTCTGCCTACTCCTGGGTTCAAATGATTCTCTTCCCTCAGCCTCCCGAGTAGCTGGGATTACAGGCATGCAACACCATGCCCGGCTAATTTTTGTATTTTTAGTAGAAACGGAGTTTCACCATATTGGCCACGCTGGTCTTGAACTCCTGATCTCAAGTGATCCACCCACCTCGGCCTCCCAAAGTGCTGGGATTACAGACATGAACCACCGTGCCGGGCCCTGATTTGTATTTCTTTAAGGATGAACTTGAGCATCTTTCCACATGTATGTGGACCATTTGGTGTTAACTTACTGAATTGCCTTTTCATGTCCTTTGCGCTATTTTTTCCTGTTTTGCCTATTTTTATCTTACGGATTTGTAAATGCTCATGGCAAAATAAGAAAGTTCACCCTCTCCCTGTGACATGTGCTATATTTGTCACACATCTCTTGGCTTTGTTTATGGCGTTGTTTCCATAAACATTGTTTCCATTTTCTATTTAGTTTAGTCAGAGTTATTGATCTCTTCCTTCAGGGTTTCTGGTCTTGCACAGAAAGACTCTTTTCCACCCTGAGATTATAACTGAATGTATATAGGTTTTCCTCTACATCTTTTGTGGTCTCGTTTCTCACTTTAAAACTTTGGTCCATCTGGAATTTTATTTTGGAGGTTATTCAGTTTAATTCCCCCAAATTAGCCATTTGTTCCCTCTGTTTATTTGATGAATAATCATTTTTTCTGACTGTTTTGCAACATCAGCTTTCTTATAAACGAAATTCCCATGTTGTTTATGGGAATGAGAGTGTTTATTTCTGGACTGATTATTCTGTTCCATTGTTACAGCTGTCTATTTCATCTCATGTCATACTATTTTAGTTATGGGAGTTTGTGTTCAAATCTGAGAGGACTGGCTTTCCTTATTGTTCTTTGTGTGTGTGTGAGATGGGGTTTTGCTCTGTCACCCAGGCTACAGTGCAGTGGCATGATCATAGCTCACTGCAGCCTTAACCTCCCCAGGCTTAGACAATCCTCCCACCTCAGTTTCCTGAGTAGCTGGGACTACAGGTACATAACACTACGCAGCTAATTTTTTTTTTTTTTTTTTTTTTTTTGTATTTTTCTGAGAGACAAGGTCTCGCCATGTTGCCCAGGCTAATCTCAAACTCCTGAGCCCAAGTGATCCTCCTGCCTTGGCCTCCCAAAGTACTGGGATTACAGGCCTGAGCCACTGCGCCTGGCCCTGCTCTTCTTTTTCAAAATTTTTTCTAGCTACTTAGCTATCTTCACGTTTATTTTTACAAATAAACTTTACTATCATTTTGTGAAGTTACAAAAGTGTCCAGTTAGCATTGAAATGGAGGTTGTCTTGAATTTATAGATTAATTTAGAGAGAAATGATATCTTCATAATATTGAGGCTTCTCTCCAGAGAGCACCATTTACTTAAATCTTTTTTATGTCCCTTAGTAGAGCGTTTCTCCATGTAAGTCTTTTCAAGTTTACATCTAGGTATTTTATCATCTTGGCTGCTATTACACAGAATCTTTATTTCTAACAAGCTCCCCTGGTGATTATTATGTGCATTGAGAACCGATGATTTAGGACAGGGATATGGATTCACTTGGTCTGGAGTGGGGCCTGGGCATTGGCATTTAAAGCATCAAAAAGCCTCTCTGGGTGATTCAAATGTGCAAGCAAGTTTGAAAAGTCTGACTTATGGAATTGCTAAGGAAGACTCCAGATAAATTCATGCCTGCACACTAAATTCCCTCCTCCTTTGATCTTCCTCCCCCTTCTCCTCCCATGCAGCCCAAAGTCACTGACATGCCACCCATACTTCCAGCCCATCCTGGTGGCACTTTACCTTGGTCTTTGCTTCTACCACGAGAGCCACGTCTTCAAGACGGATCCCAAATTCTCCATCCTTATAGTAACCAGGTTCTGGAAGACACAGAGATGCTGGTGGCATTAAGTGGGGGGAGGGCCCAAGCCCAGGCTTCCTGTACCTACTGATGAGTGGCTGGAGGGCCTGGCTGCCTGCTTGTCCCCTGGCTGTTGACTCTGGCAGCCCCACAACTGGTTAGATGCTTGTTGGCTAAGCAGAGGCAACCCATCCCTGTCAGGCCTCACACCCCCCACAGGCGCATCGCTAACTCACCCTTTCTCCCCTGTAGCCCAGCAGGGAAGCCCTAAAAGCCCACTTGGGTCCTGAAGGTACTCCCATCTCCCTGGATGCCACTGTCCTGTTACTCTAGCATTAGGCAACTTCAGGGTCTGAATATATAGTTGGGTCTACAGCCATAGCACCCTGAATGTGCCTGATCTCGTCTGAATATACAGCTAGGAACTAACTCCCAAGGGCAAAAAGAGGGTGTGGGCTGAGGGGAGCTGGAGTTAGGGTGAGACAAGCCATTTGGGGCTGGGCGTAGGGGTGGGAATGGGGAGCTGAGTCTGAGCTGTGTTAGTGCCTGTGGTGCTCCCCTGGAGGCTGGCACACCCTAGACTGCAGTCCTGGGCTAGCTCTGCTCTGGGATGGGGTGGTGAGGTAGAGGGACCCGAGGGCCGTACCAATGGAAGTGAACATGCCCTTGGCCATGGCGATGTTGTTGGACTGGAATCCCACTGGCCCTAGAAAGGAAGACATAGCATGGTATCAGTTCTCCTATATGCACCAGCTTGGAAGTCAGCAGCTTACAGGGAACAGCAGATAAGTGTGGATCCCTGAGCATCTCTGCGACACGGTCCATTGCATCATTGTCTGCCTGGGCCTGGCACACACCAGATTGGCTCTGGCTTTTAATATTTATTTAGGTAATGAGAGGGGTCTTGCTGTGTTGCTCAGGCTGGAGTGCAGTGGCGCCATCACGGTTCCTTGCAGCCTCGACCTCCTGGGATCCTCCCACCTCAGACTCCCAAGTAGCTGGGACTACAGGCACATGACACCACACCTGGATACTTTAAAAACATTTTTCATAGAGACAGGGTCTTGTGGTGTTTCCCAGGCTGATCTCAAACTCCTGGCCTCAAGTGATCCTCCCACCTTGGCCTCCCAAAGCACTGGGATTATGGGTGGGAGTCACTGCATGCAGCTGGCTCTGGCTTTGATTTCTCTGTGGTCTATACAAGTTAGCCACTAGGCCTTGAGCCTCTTTCTGGTGCCCTCTTGAATGCCAAGCAGCCAGCAGGACTGGCCTGCTGCTGGTATTCCTCACTTACCCCGTGGAGCTGGGTAACTTTGGGTAGATCATGGCACCTTGGTGGATCTTGGTCATTTCCATACCTGTGAAAGGCTCTACCTCCTTCATAGAAGGGATCATAAAATGGGGGACCCTGGGGAGTGCTGAAGAGACACCTACACTCATGCACACACAGGAAGTTGCCAATGCCATGGCCTGTCCCGTGACCATAATTGAGCCCAACATCCCACAAGGCTCTGCGGGCAAAGGCCTCCACCATTCGCCCTGGAAGGGAAGAGAGATTGACCCCAGTCAGATGGCTGTCCCCAAGATTGTCCGCCTTGCCCCTTTCCTGCTCCACTATCAGAGTGGTGCCTAAGAAGAGGGGCCCCTGAGAGGCCACTAAGCATGCACTGATGCAATGATTTTGGGTTGGGATGGAGAAGAGCTGATGGACAGAGTTAGTGGTTCCCTGGCCAGACCAGCCCATCACTATCACCAGCTTATACATTGTATCCATTACTACAATTTCTTCCCATCTGTCAGGGCTTTGCACTTTGACACCTACTTCCTCTAAGAAACCTCCCATAACTGCTGTGGCCCAACTGATCTCTCCCACCTCTGAGCAACAGTGTTAGATTACGAGGCAGGAGACCTGAGTTCAAGGCCTGGGTGTCCCGCTAACATTCTGCATGACCTTGGCCAAGTCACTTTCTCTCTCTACGCTGGATTTTCTCATCTATATGAGGGATGGGATGGTGACAGAATCCCTGCCCCACCAGCCTCTCAGGGTGATGGTCCTAGTCCTGTGAAATCAGGGCCTGAGGCTGTGTCCAGCCTGGTTTCTGGAACCCACCTGATGTAGCAGCAGGAAAGATGAGCCTGGACAGGTCAATGTTTCCTATCAGCACACGGGTGTACGCCTCCTGATGGGGAGAGGAAGAGGTGACGTGGAGGACAGGAGGAGGAGCCAGGGGAGCTTCCAGGCCTGGGTGTGTGTGGGCAGGGTGGGGGGAGTTGCATCATCGTGTGTGGCTGCCCGTGTTCAGGAAGATGGTCAGTGGAGGCTGAGGAGGGCCTTCCCAAAGCTGGGGCTCCATCACGTGCTTCCCACTGGCTGGTCTATGAGGGTCATTACTGGATATAATCCCAGCACTTTGGAAGGCTGAGGCAGGCAGATCACCTGAGGTCAAGAGTTTGAGACCAGCCTGGCCAATATGGTGAAACTCTGTCTCTACCCAAAATACAAAAATCAGCTGGGCATGGTGGCATGTGCCTGTAATCCCAGCTACTCGGGAGGCTGAGGCAGGAGAATCACTTGAACCCGGGAGGCGGAGGTTGCAGTGAGCCGAGATCACACCACTGCACTCCTGCCTGGGCGACAGGGCAAGACTCAGTCTCAAAATGTATATATCTGCAGGAGACACTTGGTGGCAGTGAGCCGAGGCTGTGACTCCCTGGGCTGAAACCTGACTCAGCCACTGACTCTGTGACCTTGGGCAGGCAACTTTAGCTGCTGTGTGCCTCAGTTTCCTTATCTGCGATGGGACGATAACAGGTCCTAGCTCCTGGGCTTGTTGAGAGAGGAGGGCGGACTAAGGAACGGAAGGCGGTGCCTGCAGTGCGCAGGCTTCACGGAAGGTTAGCGCTCTCATTCCTGTGGTTGCGACAGCTGTTGAGTTTTCTTAAGGCCTTTCATGAGGGTTGAGGTTTGCTGATTTGGCAGCTTAGCCTTCCTCTGTCAGGGGAGGGAGGTGGGCTGACAGTGGTCTCTCCTGGTCATGTCCAGAGGCGATGTGGTCAATCCCCTTCACTACACATGTGCACAGGCTGTGACATTGTGCAGGACAGCCAGGGGCAGCAGACCCCGCTAAACTGTGAGCTGCTGGAGGCTCGGACAGCATTTGGTTCCCCTCTCTGTTTCCAGCACCATGTCTGCCCCATGGTCGGCCTGCTGAATGCAGCATGGCCGAAGCTCAGCTCGCAGGCAGCTCGCTGCTCCACCCCCAGGGCTCTCTGGTGCACAGAGACAATGCCCTTGCCTCTGCCCCAGCTGGAAGCCCTCGCTGTTTCCCGAACACCTCTGGCTCCTTCCCATCACGGAGGCTTCACTTGTGCCATTTTCCTCCACTTGGGATGCCTTTATTTCTCCTTTCCGCTGAGTACAGGGCCAGGCACGCAGGCACCAAAAAAAAAAAAAAAAAAAAAATCTGTGCACTGATTTACCGGAATAGGATGAGGCTCAGCTTGGGCTGAGACCTTGTCAGTGGCCTGAAATATCCCCAGGTAAGCAGCAGGGAGCACTGGGTTTTCCGGCACCAACTGTGTGACCTTAGGCAAATGACTTAACCTCTCTGAGCCTCAGTTTTAGCCTCTGAAATGGAAGCGATCTTGATTGCTTGGGTGTCCCCTTGGGGGAGGGTGGTGAGGGGAAATCTGGGCCCAGGCTTACCTTCTGGAAGGCAGAGGGGGTGCCCCAGTGGACCGTTCTGGTGATGTCTGTGGTCCCGTCCCTATGGAGAAGGGAAACCAACACATCCTGCTCTGCCAAATGCCTGGGGCTAGGGACTGGGCCCATGTGCTTTCTGTGTGCTTTCCACAAATGGCAGGGCTGGGCTGGGGTGAGTGGATGGCGAAAGGGAGCAGACAGTTACCATAATCAAAATCCCCAGCTTTGGTGTCTATGCATAAAAGGCCTCTGCAAAGCTATCAAGTTAAAAGCCACTACGTTATCTGACGAGCGTGACTACACTCCTCCCCCATCCCACTCATTTGGACTGTTTTGTAGATCTGGGTTTCCTTGGGTCCAGCTGGCTCTGAAAGCAAGGCTGCTTCTAGGCTTCCTGGAAGGCAGAAAGGGGATTGTCCCGTTTTTACAGCTGGGGAAACTGAGGTCCAGAGAGATTATATTATCTTAACACTCTCATATTTAGCTAGTTATAGACCATTTACAGGACACTTTTGCTGCTCACCAGGAAGAGTGGCAGAGCAGGCCTCATTATACCCATTTCACAGATGAGGCCATTGAGGCTATGTGGCTGCTTCACTCTCTGAACCTTAGTGAAGCCAGGCGGAGAGCAAGCACTGCGTCTGCATTCGGTCCTCTCCATTCGGTCCTCCCATGCGGTCCTCTCCATGGCAAACATGGATCTGACTTGGTGATTTGCTGAGTTCCAGTGAGGTGAAGTCTCAGCCTGAAGGTCTGACTCCCAACCCCCAGCTGCAGCGGTTCCCCCAGGATGGCCCCCGTGATCATGCCTTGGTGAGGGAGAGGGGAGAAATGGCCCCAGGGCACCGGGGGCTCCTCCTTGGGTCATGGGGTGTGGTGACCTTCTTCAGAAGGAAAGAAGAGGAAGTAAGGTGACCATTTCCCTGGCCTCACCCTACTCTGAGCACACCCCATTCCAGCAACGCCCCCACAAATTCACTTCCCTTTTGCTCATTGGCCAGCTCGAGTACACCACAGCATGGAACTCCTGATGAGCAAAGGCTGCTGAGTGCCTGCTACTCCGGTTCCCTGAGAGCTGTGCTAAGAACAAGGAAACAGCCTCTGTCGTTAGCATCTTCACCATTTCCACGAGGTAGAGGCTGGGAAACCATTGGAAACTACTTGCTCCTCTGTCAGCTCAGCACGGCCCCTCTTTTGCTTCACCCCACGCTTCCCACAGTCCACTTCCTTCCTCAATGAGAAGGGAAAATCTTTCAGGTCAGCTCAGCTCAGCTCTCTTATGAATGATTGGTGACACATTTGGAAGGAATGGGCTTAGCTTATTCTTTTTTTTTTTTTTTTTTTTTTTTCAAAGTCTTGCTCTGTCGCCAAGACTGGAGTGCAGTGGCATGATCTCAGCTCACTGCAACCTCTGCCTCTTGGGTTCAAGCGATTCTCCTGCCTCAGTCTCCCTTGGGAAGCTCCACCACGCCCTGCTAGTTTTTTGTATTTTCAGAAGAGATGGGGTTTTACCATGTTGCCCAGGCTGGTCTCGAACTCCTGACCTCAGGTGATCCGCCTGTCTCAGCCTCCTAAAGTGCTGGGATTACAGGTGTGAGCCACTATGCCCAGCTGGGTTAGCCTATTCTGCACGGTTGTCAGGTCTGAGCATTTAGGTTGTACACTGTACAAGGGTAGCCCATCAAAAGGGTGCTTCTCTCATCTGCCCCCACCTCCATCTAGACCAGTGCCATGGGGAAGAAGGGGCTGAGGAGTCTGCATGATGTTGGCGGTGCGTGGGCTGTGTCCAGAATGTGCATGAGTGGGTGAGAATAGGGTGTATGTGTTTGTGCAGCCAGGCAGGGATGCTTAGTATAGTTGCTCAGACTGTGTAATAATACGTGGACTTAGAAAAAACTTCACTTGAGGCTGGGCCTGGTGGCTAATGACTGTAATCCCAGTATTTTGGGAGGCCGAGGCAGGTGGGTCACCTGAGGTCAGGAGTTTGAGACCAGCCTGGCCAACATGGCAAAACCCCATCTCTACTAAAAATACACACACACAAAAAAAATTAGCTGGGGGTGGTGGTGGGCACCTGTAATCCCAGTTACTTGGAAGGCTGAGGCAGGAGAATTGCTTGAACCCAGGATGCAGAGGTTGCAATGAGCCGAGATCGCACCACTGCACTCCACTTGGGTGACAGAGCAAGACTCTGTCTCAAAACAAACAAACGAAAAAAACAAAACCAAAATCCCCGCCCCCCCCCCAAAAAAAAAACTAAACATTTTACTTGGGCAAAGGGAGTCTTTTTCTAATTCCCACAGAGGTGCTGCCTGGGTCCTCCCATGGTCCCAGCCCCTGCGTATTTCCCACTGGGTAAGGACTCCCTGTGTGAAAATGGGAAGGATGTTGGCGGCTCATTCCAAGTGTCTCCTTTCTCAGATGAAGAATCCATGCTCCAGGAAGGGAAAGCTTTGGCTGACTCTAGGCAGGCCCAGGAGGTCTGAGCAGAGCCATCTAGGCCAGGGTGGGGTGAGGGGTACATACCAGTACTGTCCCCCAGAGTCCAGCAGGTACATCTCATCTGAGGACAGCTTGCGGTTCAGCTCCCTGGTTGGGCTGAGAAAGGGAAAGAATGCTGAGAGGGGCAGCCTAACGCTGCGCTGGGTCACATGGGGGTCCTTGGTGGGAGGACCTCTGGGGCTTGGGCTTCCAGTCCAGCTCCTCTGGGGGAAGTCATTCTCTCCCAAAGGGCCCTGGAAGAGAACTCAGCTTCCGTTGCTGCCATCCTCAGCACACATCTGTTAATCCTGCATCTGGCTGAGCCAGGCCCTCGTCCCCAGGGAGGGGACAGGGAGGAGCCCAGAGTGTGAGAGCTGGGAGAGCCCGAGAGACCTTCCAGCCCAGCCATCTCCCTTTCCACAAGGAAAAACAGGCTTATGGAGGCTGAGGGGTTTGCATGAGGGCACGCGGTAAAGCAGTGAGGAGCTGGGCCTCCACCCGGATGCTACCTCTGGCCCTTTGTCTCTGACTTCCTGCTGCCTCTGAGAGCAGACAGTCCCCAGAAGAAGCCAGAGCACAGGAAGGGAGGGTCCCTCCGGGGCGGAGCTGCAGAGCAAGAGGTGGTGAAGCTGAGGAGCACCCACGCCACCACTCTGGCCAGAGTAGGGAGGAGGGGCTGGGGCAAGGCAGCTGAAGGTGTGGGAGACACCAGGGGACACCCAGGGAGGGAATTCTGGCACAGGCTAGGCACTCCCTTGGAGGGCATTGACCTCTCCCTGCTGTGCCCATGCCAGGCAGAGGCAGCTGGTCAGCTTGACTCCCCCACATTTCATCAGGCAGGCCTGCAGCGGTTTGTTTTCTGTTTGTTTGTTTGTTTGTTTCTTTTTGAGATGGAGTGTCGCCCTGTTGCCCAGGCTGGAGTGCAATGGCAAGATCTTGACTCATTGTAACCTCTGCCTCCCGGGTTCAAACGATTCTCCTGCCTCAGCCTCCCAAGTAGCTGGGATTACAGGCACCTGCCACCATGCCTGGCTAATTTTTGTATTTTTAGTAGAGACGGGGTTTCACCATGTTGGCCAGGCTGGTCTCGAACTCCTGACCTTGTGATCCACCTGCCTCAGCCTCCCAAAGTGCTGGGATTGCAGGTGTGAGCCACCGCGCCCGGCTGCAGGGGTTTGTTTTCTATGGGGTCAAATACCTGGCTAGCCTGCATCTTGGGCCCACCTTGGTTGGTTCAGACTGAGTGAACAGGTCTCTCTCCGTGTGAGCTCGTAAGCTTTAGGAATTAGCTGACATGCCGGGCGCGGTGGCTCACGCCTGTAATCCCAGCACTTTGGGAGGCCGAGACGGGTGGATCACGAGGTCAAGAAATCGAGACCATCCTGGTCAACACGGTGAAACCCCGTCTCTACTAAAACTACAAAAAATTAGCTGGGCATGGTGGCGTGTGCCTGTAATCCCAGCTACTCAGGAGGCTGAGGCAGGAGAATTGCCTGAACCCGGGAGACGGAGGTTGCGGTGAGCCGAGATCGCGCCATTGCACTCCAGCCTGGGTAACAAGAGCGAAACTCTGTCTAAAAAAAAAAAAAAAAAAAAAGAATTAGCTGACATAAGCAACACACAGGAAACCAGGGAAAAGCATCCAACGGCTTCCGTGCCTCCCGTCCAAGTCCCCCAGCCTCCAGTGCTCAGGCTATTTCATTGCAAGGCTACTCCCTGCTCCACACTGAGCTCCTCTCCCAGCCCCCACAGGGCTAAGGGCCTCAGATCTTCAACGTGGACTCAGGTCCCAGAACATTCCCCTCCCCTCACCCGGTTCCTCTACACACACAACAGGATCCCCCAACAGGGTTCCTGAAAATTCTTTTTCCTCAAGTACCTGTAGTGGGGCAGGGCAGCATTCAGGCCACTGGCAGAGATGGTTTGGAAACTGGGTCCAGAGGAGAACTCTTCTTCTCTGGAAAGTACAAGGCAAGAAAGGGTCAATGAATGGGTCCATGGACTAGGCTGGGCCCGGGATTCTAACCAGATCCAATGAAGGCCGCAGCTCCCTCTACCTCTCAACCGGACACCATTTGGCTCTCCCAGCCTTCACCTCCTGGTTCCCATCTCCCCAAACCCTGACCTGTTATTTATAGAGGAAGATCAGAGAAGGACACACTGTAACTGTAGACACCAATTATTTCCTCTCCACCTCCATTTTATGGATAGGAGTGAAGAAACCCAGCTCCCTGTATCTGGAAACTCCTCCAGCCCTGGAACAGCATCCTGTACCTCAAACCTACAATCTGGCCATGACCTGGGCCAAGCATGACCTTGGGAATCCTCCTCCCTACCTGGTATTCTCAAGTGGTCCAGGGGCTGACCTGGCCTGAGCCACAGCCTCCCCCAGGGAGAGCCAGACTGTGCCTGAAGCAGACACTGGAGGACGCTATTGGGTTGTGGCCCTTCAAGTTGTCCTGCTTTCAGCAGGGCGGGCAATGTCATCCAACACTCACTGCTCAACTCCCTGACCACCCAAGAACCTGTCACTCCTTGTTCTACAGAGCTGCCCCCCACCCAGCCCACATACAAGGAGGATCTTCCTTAAGGGGACCAATTCCCCCTCCCTGCCCCCACTGCCACACTAAGAAATAGCCAGAAAGGATGGCCCTGGCTCTTCACCCTCGGAACTTGTCCACGAGCTCTGCCCCTGAGAATTCGTCCACCGTGCCTTTGGGCACGTTCTTCTCCAGCCAGACCAAGTACCGGATCACGGCCACAGCATCCCGCACCTGGAGTTGGGGAAGCAGGGAAGCAGGGAAGCTGGCTGAGGTCTGGTTGCAGCCACAGGCTCTGAGATGATGGAGATCAGATAGCTATTCCAGGATGTGGAGCTTTAAAAAACACTGGCTATTTGATGTCAAAGAATTCTTGTTAGTGTTTATAGATGATCATACCATGTTCCTGTTTTTGAAAGAGTTCTGTGTTGATGGCTGAAATGACACGCGATCTGGGATTTACTTTTAGAAGAATCAGAAACAGAGAGGTGGGGTGGTAGTGGTAATGAACATGGGTTATAGACAAAGCAAGAATGGCCGTGAGTTAAGGATGTTGAAGCTGGGTGAAGGGACACTGGAGATTATGGTGACATTTTCTTTACTTTTGTGTATGTTTAAAATTTCCTATAAGACAGTTTTTTTTAAATGAGGTGGTTTATCTTAATTTTAACAAGAATTTTTTTAAAAAAATTGAGCCATCCTCTTGCCAGTGTGAGGAAATCATTATAGCTAACACTTATTTAACACTTAGAATGTGCTAGGCAGTTCTCAGAGCAATATACATATTCACTGAATCCTAACAACAACTGTTTGCTGTTAGGTTACTGTTATGGTCCTCATTTGACAGATGGGGTAACTGAGGCTCAGAAAGGTAAAATGACTTGGCCAAGGTCACCCAGTTAGGAGTTGGGTGGAGCTGGGGTTTGAACTCAAGACACCCTAACTCCAGGGCCTACACTCTAAACCACTATACTATATTGGGAGCAAGGATATGAGGTGCATGTGGATGCCCAGGAATAATTTGGTGTCTGCTTCTTTATTTCTTTTTCTTTTTTTGAGACAGTGTCTCACAGTGGCCCAGGCTGGAGTGCAGTGGTGCAATCTCAGCTCAATACAACATCTACCTCCCAGGTTCAAGCGATTCTCGTACCTCAGCCTCCTGAGTAGCTGGGACTACAGGTGACCACCACCATGCCCAGCTAAGTTTTGTATTTTTAGTAGAGACGGGGTTTCACCATGTTGGCCAGGCTGGTCTCAAACTCCTGAGCTCAAGTGATCCTCTCACCTTGACCTCCTAAAGTGCTAGGATTACAGGTGTGAACCACCGCGCCGGGCCTGCTTCTTTGTTTCATTGAGGATCTTCTTCAGGTTCTTTCCTTTCTAACTCATTAGGCTGGAAACTCCCAAAAGGCCACATCTACCTGAATGTGAACTTACGTGGCTGGCCTTGAGGAGGGCCTGCTCCTTGCTGTTCTTCACCGCCTTGGTCATCATCACTGGGGAGTAGGTGTCTGTCACGAGTTTCTCCTGTTGGGGGCAGGGAGGAGAAAAGGAGGTGTGGGGTCACAGGTCTGGGGACACAGAAAAGGAGGTCTCCATGGCACAGGGGTGTTTTCAAATGACTGCCAGGAGGACTCAGCAGATGTGAGACTTGCCACTGTTTCGTGGCAATGCCCTCTCCTCTGTGTGCTTCCTGTCTTTTCTAGTCTTCCACATCCAGCTGAACCCACTCTCCTTCCAGGAAGCCTTCCTTGATTAACACTGCCTTGCTTTGCAGTGAGCTCCCTGTCTTTGGATCCCACTAGCACTCTGGGATGGATCAGAGCGTGGCCTGAGTCAACTGATGGGCTGTTCTGACAGTGTAAGTTTCCTGTACATATCATGACAGCTACCATTCATTGAACGCCTACCATGTGTCAGCCATGTACACTATCTCCTTTAAATCTCCAGTGAGCGACTCCTGTGAGGTTGGGACTCTTACTGTCATTTTACAAGTGAAGAAAAAGACCCAGATTGGCTAAGTTGCTTGTCCGATGTCACTGCACAGCTAGGTAGGGGCAGAGCTGGAATTCATTTTCTTTTTTTTTTTTTTTTTTGAGACAGAGTTTCGCTCTTGTTACCCAGGCTGGAGTGCAATGGCACGATCTCGGCTCACCGCAACCTCCGCCTCCCGGGTTCAGGCAATTCTCCTGCCTCAGCCTCCTGAGTAGCTGGGATTACAGGCACGCGCCACCATGCCCAGCTAATTTTTTGTAGTTTTAGTAGAGACGGGGTTTCACCGTGTTGACCAGGATGGTCTCGATCTCTTGACCTCGTGATCCACCCGCCTCGGCCTCCCACAGTGCTGGGATTACAGGCTTGAGCCACCGCGCCCGGCCTTGGAATTCATTTTCAAGTTTGGCTCTGCTAGATCAGGCCGTATAGTCTCTAGCCTCCTGACAATTTTGTGAGCTCTCTGGACAGACCTCCCTGTTTTCTCTTCTGTCTCTTCCCAGTTAGGCCTAGAAGGGAACTCACTGCACAGTTGTTGGCTGACCAGGTGACTGAATGGCTGAGGGGATTCATCCCACTTTAGGTTAAGGCTTAACAGGCCTGGAGCGGGAATTGGTGCCTGGTTTGGGCTGGGGCCTGGCAAACCCACCTTGGGTATCACTTCATAGATCCCATACGTGGTATAGCTGGTCCCAATCCAGATCCTCACATCTCCTAAGGCGTAGGCCTGGATGCTGTCACGAACTTGGCTGTAATCCTCAATTTGCACACACATGGGGCCTGTGCAACTGGAGTTCAGATACGTCAAGGTTTCGGAGCTAAAGCGACTCTTGTTTGCAAACAACCTGGGTGGGGAGGCAAGACAGAGAGAGTCCTGAGCATCCGCTAAGGATGCAAAGCACCAGAGACAGACACAGTCCCTTTGTTCCTGGAGGTCAAAGGAAGCCAGACCCAGGGAGTCAATCAGGCCAGATTTGGGATTCAACAGGGACAGAGGTTAAAGAGTCAGGAAAAGCCAACAGGAGGTTTTCTAAAGGTCATGCTGGGGCAGGCACCAAGCTGATGGGCAGCCAGAGGCTGTATATTAAGGCGGGATCAGTGGTGGGGCACCAAAAGGGTGGAAGTTGGAGAAAGTCCACGACAGCACGCTAAGGAAAAGCCATACCTGATAGAAGAGTCTGTGAGCAGCGCGTAGGAATAGAAGAAGGGGTTATAGGGGATGTCACTGGCTCGAAGGTTGAAGAGCCCTGGGAAGAGAATTCACAGAAACTATTTGATGCTGATCTGCCTGAGGCAAGCCTTTCTCTCTCTCTCTTTCTTCTTTCTCTTTCTTCTTTCTCTTTCTTTCTTTCCTTCTTCTTTCTTTCTTTCTTCTTTCTTTCTTTTTCTTTCTTTTCTTTCTTTTTCTTTCTTTTTCTCTTTCTTCTTCCTTCCTTCCTTCCTTCCTTCCTTCATTCCTTCCTTCCTTTCTCTCTCTCTCTTTCTTTCTTTCTTTTCTTTCCTTTTTCTAGGACACAGTCTTGCTCTGTCGCCCAGGCTGGACTGCAGTAGCGCTCTCACTGCAACCTCCACCTCCCGAGTTCAAGTGATTCTCCTGCCTCAGCCTCCCGAGTAGCTGGGATTACAGGCACACACCACCATGCCCAGCTAATTTTTCTATTTTTAGTAGAGACGGGGTTTCAACATGTTGGTCAGGCTGGTCTTGAACTTCCAACCTCCGGTGATCCGCCCACCTCGGCCTTCCAAAGTGTTGGAATTATAGGCATGAGCCACCGTGCCCGGCCTGAGGCAAGCATTTCTGACACCTTTGCCCCACTGTTTCCTTTGGTCCCCCAAAGATTATCAGCAGCATGCCTGCATCATCTACCTCTGCATATTACTCAATCTTTTTGGGGGGGGCTTTTGTTTTGGTGGGGCTCTTTGAGATGCTGTTAAGAGTTATGGATCTTTTCACCCCAGAAAAATGCAGACACTTAGCAGTTAGCACACAGGTCCAGTGGGCCCCTAGAATATCTGAAGCCCAGCCATAGGGATCAGACAAGAAGCCCTGAGCCATGTCGGGAAAGAGTAGGGTCCCAATGGGTGCTAAAGCTGGGCATATGAGTGCTGTGGGGTAGCAGCTAAGTTGTTGGGAGGCATTGCTGGTCCTCCTCCCCTGAATGAGACGGAAGCACTTTGCTGCCGTGGCCAGTTCGTTCCTCCAGCTTACTCAGGGCTACTTCATGTCCTTTTTCTGCAGCCATGAGCTCCTGCCCCCTTACCCTTCTTGGTTCCCATGGGCTGTGACGATGGAGTTCTCAAGAACTGGTGGGCACATTCTTATTAGGGGAAGAGCAAGCTCTGTGCTGCAGGGCGCAGGAGGTCTGGGGTATTGGGGAGAACCCGGCGCCCACCCGTATCTGCAAATCCACACTCACAGGCCGTCTCCTCGAGGGCCGACAGAAGGACGGCAGTTGGGGCCTTCTGATGCTTCTGCATCTGGCTTCGGACGCCAGATACTTTCTCTTGCCAAGTGCTCCCTAGAAGCAAAGGAGCCCAAAGAAAGTGTAATTGACACACCTTGCCTTTGGTACTCAGTTCCTGAAAGGGCAGCCTTAGGGTCACAGTTTTCCACCCTTTTAAAAAGCAGTGGAACCTTTTCCCCAAACAAACTCTTACTCGTGTACTCATCAATGACATGGGCCTTGGACCCAGACTGGGCTCAAATCCTGGCTTTGCCGTTATTGGATGGGTGACCATGGGCAAATTACTTAACCCCTCTGTGTCTCATTTTGCACATCTGTAAAATGGGGATGGAGTATAACAAGTATCTGCCTTAATAGGGTTGCTATGAGGATGGAATCAATTAATATTTGTAAAGCATACAGAAGGGTATCTTGATAGGTAGTAACTCTTGTATCCTTCTGATCAAAAAATAGGCATGCAGACTGAGACCAGTAGAGCAGTCCCAGTTGAAGGACAAATGGATAGGGCTGGGATCATGTTCAACCTTCTTCTCTGAAGTAACCCCAGTATTTACTAAGCCACGGGTACTGGGCTAAGCACTCCATGAGCATTGTTCTAATTGTTACCCATCCCATTTCACAGATAAGGAAACTGAGGCTTCAGGGAGGTAAAGTGACTTGTCTAGGGTTTTACGGATGCAAGAGGTGGAGCTGGGATTTGAATGCTGGCCTGTCTGACTGCCAGGCCCACACTCTTTTTTTTTTTTTTGAGACGGAGTCTTGCTCTGTCGCCCATGCTGGAGTGCAGTGGCGCAATCTCGGCTCATTGCAACCCCAACCTCTCAGGTTCAAGCAATTCTCCTGCCTCAGCCTCCTGAGTAGCTAGGATTACAGGCACGTGCCATCACACCCGGGTTTCACCATGTTGGCCAGGATGGTCTCGATCTCTTGACCTCATGATCCACCCGCCTAGGCCTCTCAAAGTGCTGGGATTACAGGCGTGAGCCACCGCACCCAGTGGCCCACACTCTTAATCTGTATAGGCACTGTACTGTCTTATTAACATCATCAGTCTCCAAATCTGTCCTTAAACTCTGTGTCACAGCACCATCCTTTCTAGGATGCTTATATCCAGGTTCTATGACTTTAGTTTTCATCTTCTATCTTTGACCCCTGCAAGATATTCAAAAAGTCTACCCCTAGGCAGGACTAGGAGTTTGATGGCCGGCAGTCATAACCATAAAGGGTCCTAGCTGGGTTCAGCTATGAGTATAAGTAACTTAATGTCGTGAAAAATACTTCATGTAAACAGGTAAAACTATTCAACAAGGGCCAAAACTTTGGGTACAATACATTTTGTAGGTTTATTTTACTACATATTTTACCATAATTTATGTTATCTGTAAAATACACATGAAATGTATCATTTTAACCTTTTGAAAGTGCACAAGTCAGTGGTTTTCAGCACACTCACAATGTTGTGCAACCATCGCCATGCTCTAATTCTACCACATTTTCATCATCCCCAAAAGAAACCCTGCACTCACTACGGAGTCACTCCCTATCCCCCTCCCCCAAGCCCAGGAAACCACTAATCTGTGTTCTATCTCTATGGATTTGCCAATGCTGGATACTTCATACAAATGGAATTGTACAATATGTTGCCTTCTCTGACTGGCTTCTTTCACTTGCAATTATGTTTTTCAGGTTCAGGAATATGATACCTTTCTGAGAAACCAAATGAACCCAAATTTCAACAGTCTGATGCGTACAGGTATCTTTGAGTAGCGAACTTTTCATGTTCTGCCCTTTGCACTCTCCTCTCTCCTTTAAAACCTGCAAGTGGCTGGAAAGTCTCGTTTCTATGAGCTTATTGAACCTGAACTCTGTTCTTTGGCTTCCAAGCTCAAGCTCCAGATGCCTTTTTCTTTTTCTTTTTTTAAAATTTGAAACGCAGGCTTGCTCTGTCCCCAGGCTGGAGTGCAGTGGTGCAATCTTGGCTCACTGCAACCTCCGCCTCCTGGGTTCAAGCGATTCTTCCGCCTCAGCCTCCCGAGTAGCTGGGACCACAGGCGCATGCCACCATGCCCAGCTAATATTTTGTATTTTTAGTAGAGACGGGGTTTCGCCATGTTGGCCAGGATGGTCTCGATCTCTTGACCTCGTGATCTGCCCGCCTTGGCCTCCCAAAGTGCTGGCATTACAGGCGTGAGCCACCGCACCCGGCCTCTAGATGCCTTTTTCTTGAAGACTGGCAGCATGCAATGACTCGGCATCCCCTCATTTTTGGGAAGTGACAAAACCCTTCCAAATTCTCTTCCAGCCCCAGGAAGGTTTTTCTCTTTTTTTCCCCCTCCTCTTCCCGACATAACTTTGACTTTTTTTATTCTGAATAAGATGAGCTTTATTTATGATTTAACAGTCTTGGATAGCAAGTTTCTTTAAAAATGGCATCAAGATGCAGAAAGAATGATTCTGCAAGTTATATCAGAACAGATAAAGAAAATGGGACACAATTTTCACTTGTTTCATCATCACTGCTATTTTGAAATCTCCCTGCTGCTTTTTTGGCTCCTTTCTAAATGAGAAATTGTGTGGACTTGCATGTGGAAAGGGATCTCTTAGCCTGATCAGTGTTACTAAGAATCCAAGTTCATTGCCTTATTCAGAATTCCCAGGGAAATAGCAGTGGTTGGTGGCCAAGATACTGATTCATAATCAGTAACCTGGTCCTCGTCCGGACTTTAGTTACGACTTACAGGAATCTTACAGCATACTGTTCTTTTGTGATGTATTTAGATAGTGTCAACGGGGTCAAGGTTATTGATGTTATATTTTTCTAACTTCTCTGATTGGTCCAGCAAAAGCTGAACTGTAATCTGTGCTACAGAATTATTCTGAACTTAGTTGTTTACTTCTTCTGTCCACTCCTGCCCACCTGACCCCAGCCATCTCAGAAATCTAAATTCTTCATCACAAGAGGGTCAGAATTAAAGATCTGAACGATTCAATATGGACCAGTCTCCACCACCAGACAAGCAACTCATATCATGTTTTTTTCTCTCTTGAAAAGGGTTGGATGTTGTCTCTCATCTTTCTCTGACTCCCTTCTTTCCTCCGTTCCTGGTTTATCTTGCTTCAAATTCTAATATTCTTTAATCCAGCATTTTCTCAATATGGACTGAGGACCTTTTGATTCAGACTCCTCAAGGGGAGGGGGCCTGAAATCTGCATTTTATTTATTTATTTTTTGATACAGAGTCTTGCTCTGTCACTCAGGCTGAAATGAAGCAGTATAGTCTCGGCTCACTGCAACCTCTGCCTCCCCAGGTTCAAGTGTTTCTCTGTGTCAGCCTCCTGAGTAACTGGGATTACAGGCCTGTGGCACCACGCCTGGCTAATTTTTGTATTTTTAGTAGAGATGGGGTTTCACCATGTTGGCCAGTTTGGTCTTGAACTCCCGACCTGGTGATTCACCAGCCTCAGCCTCTCAAAGTGCTGGGATTACAGGTGTGAGCCAATGGCACCCAGCCTGAAATCTGCATTTTAAACAAGCACCCCAAGTGACTCAGGTGCATGCTAAGGTTTGCAAACCATTGCTTTGGTACCTCTGAAGATGAAGTTTGCCATAGTAGCTGGGACCCATGTTGCTACAAGTTGGGAAGGAAACTGGGCTTACTGAATTACCTGTGAATGCCTCCTGCAGGGCATAAATGGGTTGGTTTGGAACCGGTGGCCTCTCTGATCCCCACACCAGGTCCACAAGGTTGGTTATGATGGACACCAGATGTCTGTTAGAGCCTTGGAGGGCCAGATCATAACTCTCCCAGGTGTCTGCAGAGACAAGAAGGAGTCACTTGTCCCTTGCCCATTTACGCCTCAGGAAAAAATTGTGATTCAAGCAAAGTTAGTCCTGGTTCCATTTGTCTCCCTTTATAGCCCAACTTCCCCAAGCCTGCCCCAGAAGCCTGCCCATCGCCCCCCACCAGAATGTGTGCCCACACTGGGATATGTTTCTCATCCTCTTTCTGCTTTCCAAGCCTAATGCCCTGAGCCCACTCTAACATTGCGCGTCACAAATTGGCTAAGCTTGTCTTTTTCTCTGCCAGTGGCTGTGGGTGGTCCTTCTTTTGGGCACTAATTATTTTATCTGGGCTTCAGTGTCACAGTCCAAAGGAATGGTGACGGTCAGGCTGTTGTACAGGCTGGCAAAGAAGCCAGGTCTAAAGCACAAGCCTTTCAGTACATATTCATGAGGACACCCCTTTGGGGAAATGGGTTGGCCAGCTGTCTGGGGCTCCAGAACTCAGGGAATTGTATTCTCAGGGGTCTTTTTTTTTTTTTTTAAACTCAGAGGACCTCCCAAATCTTTGACTCTTCTAAGCTACCTTCCAGAAGAGGGTTACCAACTGATTCCAGCACCATCATTGGTAGAGTTCCAGGGCACAGAGGGTGGTTCTGGGTTCAAGCACATCCTGGCCTATTAATTCACTAGATCTTTAATGATTCACTGAATCTTCTAGTTTGGGTCTCTGCACTCATGAATTTTAAAATATTTGTACTCATTCTTTAAATGTATTCTAATTACACAATCCACGATTACATCCTCATTGTAAAACATCATTGTAAAACATTCTGCAACTGCCATTTTAAATGCTCTATCTTTATAGTCCCACCGCCCCTCCTTCTACCAAGGTCCATTTCTTTATATCTCAGGGAAGCTGAGTCACCCTTGTTGGCATGGACAAATTCAGGGACTGAGGGAAGAGCATACCAATGGATAAGAGGAAGGGGTCAAAACCCACA